AGGAAGATGACCATGGAAAAGGCAGTCCACATGTCCCATCGGACCTTTTCCTCTTTGCTTTCCTCCACTACCTCTGCAGCCTTTTCCAGAGCCTTCTGCATGGCTTCCTGGTCCGCGATTTCCTGCTCCAAGCGCAACTGCTCCAGCCGAAGGATCTCCTCCCGCTCCTTCATCTTCTGGATGATTTCTTCCGCGTTCTCGGGGACAGTGCCATTCTCTTTAGGGAAGAGGAGCGGGTGGTTGACAATAGCTGTAATCACCACTAGGCACACCCGGAAGATTCCCACGGGCATGGCAGTTCCTTCCCTGGAAGAGAAAGGAAGGCAGAATGACCCATGATTCAGAGTATATTCCCTCAAGAAGAAACATGAAAGAAACTCGCCACTTGAATAAAAACTTTTGCATCCTTTCTCGCCCTGGAAAAACTGCTTGAGTCTAGAAGATCCTAAGCACATGCCTGTTTCTGCAAGTTATCAACCAAGCTTCCCAAAGAGACTTTATCAGCAGACAGTGAGGATGAAAGCGTCCTCTTATCAAATTAACTTCGAAGAACAGAACTGTGAAGGCCCTTGCTACTGTGATGTGCTACCTTGCCCACTGTGATGTCATTGGGAGGTGTGGGAGGGTATGTCCTTCCTCCCTCCTTTAAAGTTCTCAGGACAGAAAGGGAAAGAAGCAAGCAGAACCTCCCTAGATGTAAAAAATCAGGCCTGTAGATGACCTCTGCTTTCCCTCAACATAAGACTAATGTTGCAGATGCAGCAATGGCATAGGCAGGCCTGTCCTGGCCACCTTCCATGTTAAGTGTGTCTGGGGACCTACACAGCCTGCTTGGATCATAGAAGCATAGAATCACAGAATTGTTTAGGTTAGAAAGGACCCTCAAGATCATCAAGTCCAACCGTCAACCCACACTACCATGTCCCTAAGCACCTCAGCTACCCATCTTTTAAATACCTCCAGCAATGGGGACTCAACCACTTCCCTGGGTAGCCCGTTCCAGTGCCTAATAGCCCTTTCGGTAAAGAAATTTTTCCTAATGTCCAACCTAAACCTGCCCTGGTGCAACTTGAGGCCATTTCCCCTCCTCCTATTGCTTGTTACTTGGGAGAATAGACCAACCCCCACCTCGCTACAGCCTCCTGTCAGGCAGTTGTAGAGGGCGATGACATCTCCCTTCAGCCTCCTCTTCTCCAGGCTGAACAACCCCAGGTCCCTCAGCCACTCCCCATCAGCCTTGTGCTCCAGACCCCTCACCAGCTTTGTGGCTCTCCTCTGGACATGTTCCAGCAATGCCATTTGCCTTCTTGGCCACCTGGGCACACTGCTGGCTCATACTCAGCCGGCTGTCAACCAGTACCCCCAGGTCCTTTTCTGCTAGGCAGCTTTCCAGCCACTCTTCCCCAAGCCTGTAGCGTTGCATGGGGTTGTTGTAACCCAGGTTCAGGACCCGGTACTTGGCCTTGTTGAACCTCATACAATTGGCCTCGGCCCAATCGATCCAGCCTGTCCAGGTCCCTCTGTAGAGCCTTCCTACCCTCAAGCAGATCGACACTTCCACTCAGCTTCATGACATCTGCACACTGACTGAGGGTGCACTCAATCTCCTCATACAGATCATTGATAAAGATGTTAAACAGAACTGGGCCCAAAACTGAACCCTGGGGGACACAGCTTGTTACCGGCCACCAACTGGATTTAACTCCATCCACCACAACTCTCTGGGCTCGCCCGTCCAGCCAATTTTTTACCCAGCGAGCAGAACAATCTTCACTGCCAGTGCTGGGGATATGCACTTGGGTGGGAACAAGCCTGCATGGTTTTGAGCTTCTAAGCAGGCACTAGGGGCAAAGTGCCCTTCAGCACCACCAGGATCAGGCTGTGGCAAACCCTCCCAGCCTGAGGATGCCTCATGACTGCGGTCCCCAGAAAAACAGGCCGAGACAGAAAGATGGCTAAACTGGAAAGGGTTTCCTTCAACCCAGTGGTTTTAAAAGCATGGGTGGTTTATTTTTGGTGTGTGCTTCACTATGAATCTGTGGAAGACACTAGCAAACACCATGGCCTTGATCTAAGCCACCTTCCCCAAGCACCCCCTTAACAGCTGGTGCTTGCAGCCAGCTCACTCCTCTCTGAAGTGACCTCAGGGTGGCTGTGAGGACTCACTCTGGGTCTCAGTGTCACCACACTTGCTGCAGGCAGCCACGTGCCAGCAGCGGTCCCACATGTCACCCCTTGCACAGGCCCTTGGCATGACTGAGACCACTCTGGTGTTCTGGAGTTGCTTCACATGGTTACTGGCTCTGCTGCTCGGACCTCACACTTAATAAAGCTTTCCATGCCGCAGGGCTCATGATGAAAGAATTTAATTCCCGGCTTCCTGGGACATGGTCCCATTGCTGGGGTATCCGCCTGGCCCTGGCGAGGCCTCCCAGAGGTGTGGGCCAGCGGGTGCTCGGGCTGAAGCCTGGGCTGTTCCCTCCCAGGTGCCATTTCTGTCACTGGAGGGCTAGCATCGCTGTCAAGATCCCAAGTGCCTGCTCAGGGCAGGACAACCTGAGGTTGTCACCCACTGCTGCGACCTGGCAAGCTCACCAGCCCCTCTTTCTAGCAACATGACCCCTCAGTCCTAGCACAGGGAGATCAGAAGGACAAGACAGACAAGCAGGGGTATTTCTTCTTCCAGCTGCGACATTTTAACGCAGCCCCTTTGAGGCCTCGAAAGTACGTTTGAGAGAAAAGGGTTTCTGTTACAGAAATAAAGTCTATCCATAAAATACCTAATCAATCAAACCAGAAAGAGTAATCTCATTCCTAACAAAGCAATTCATCCTGCTGCAGGATTGAGGCTGCTTCACAGAGAGCCAAGAGCTGGTGAGGCTCTGTGTGTGCACCGGGAGCTGAGGGCTGTCACTTGCTCCCCCTGCAGTAGCTCCTTCCTGGCCAGAACCCTGCTGTCCCAGCGGCTGGGCAAGAAGGAGAACATCTCTGGAAATCTCATTTATGCCTCCCCAGGGCCTGCAGTAAAGATAGGTCCATCCCAGTGGGCCTTGCTACCATTGCTGCATAACAAACTGCTGGCTTTTGATTGCAGGAACCTAGATTCCTCGATGCGAGCACTTACTGTACATGGGAACTATATCCTTCGGCATGCAATTATCTTTGCTTACAGGAGGGCTGGGACTGGAATAACAAGGGAAGGGAACAGGATCGAGATTGTCCAAGCAACAAGAAAATTCACACGGTGCTCAGGATAACGCTAAGTGCCCCTCCCTGTGTAACATTTACTAACCACCCTTTTTTTACATCCCATGTACACGCATAGATGCATGTCCTTACACAGACATTGCTCTGGAGATGGTTTTCTGGCCTTTCTTGTCCTTTTTACATTTACATTAACTCTTTAATTCGTCAGGCAATGAATTAAAGCCGAATTAATGCCCAAAGCTGGGTGTTCCAGTTATTCTGTGAGCTCTGTGCTTGGCCCCATTTTAAAAATAAACCAGGGTCTCCCTGCATTGCAAAGGGCTTTATCAGTTTGCTGGGGCAGGGCAGGAAGCACTGGCGAGTTCCTTTCCTTAGTGCTACGCTCTTGTAGACCACGTGTGCTTTCCAAGCTTAAAAATAACATGGCCAAGGGCCAGGTGCCTCCTCTTGCAGCCTTGACCAGGACGACATCGCTGCTCTGCCCTGCTAGACCTCTGTCCCTGCAGCTGAGATATTTTACTGTTACCAGATTACTTCTTAGATGCATAAGGCTGAAAGAAGTCAGCTTACCTAGGATCCTCTTGTACCCTTCAAGACTCTCCCATGCGCAGTTGCTCCCAGAGGTTACCAGCCCCAAAGCTCTGCTAGCAGAAGGGGTTAGGCCAGACATCCCCAAGCCTACTGCTGGCCAACTCAGCTGGATTCATTCCAAGTCACACTGACTCAGATTTTGAAGGAGTGGGTTAGGAAGAATGCACACTACCTCTTTGCCCAGCAAACTCTACAGGCATCAGCCTCTGGATGAGAGGAAAACTGGAAGTGAAAACATCTTCAGGTCACATGAATTTGCAAGAGACAAAAAATGTCTGTTTCCAGCATGAACAGAGGAAGTTTTCCTGGTCAAAACCACCCATTTGCTACTGTAGCTACTCACAGCAGAAAATGAAGCTAAACATTAACCCCAGTTAAGGCTTGGGGTTAATCACGCTCAGTGACCAAGGGCAGTGGAGCCTGGCCTTCACAGCAGCAAGGGTGGTATGGGCAGAGCGTTCCCACACCTCATCAGACACAGCTTTCCTGGCTAATACGGAAAGATTAAATAATACAGGTGAAACCAGTAGCACTGCCTGCTAGGGCGGTCCAGCCTTCCCCATAACAAAGGCCGCTCTTTTCCCTTGCTTTTAACTTCAGCTCAAGCAATTTAAGTCTGATAAAAATATTAATGCCTGCTCTGGCTGAGACAGCTTTTGTGTGGGGAAGAGGGAGTTCAAATGTTTCCAAGCCAGAGAGTAAGAAAGAGAAACATCATTGTTTCATCTATGCATCTAATTTAACAACGATTCAAGTATAAGGGGGGGGGGAAAGTATTTGTGACTTTTTAAACATCAAGTTCCCAAAGTGATCTTCAACTTTTTCCCAATTTCTGGCCCTGCCAGTTTTTTTCCCATTCAAAACACAGACAGTGTCCAGGCTTGGCAACAGGCTTACACGGAACTACCTCCTGCTAACCCTCTTGCAGCAGTCCCAGGGCTCCGAAGACCCCTGAGGGAGGGCTCTCTTGGGCTCTCTGGTCCTCGACGTGTTGCAGGAGGC